GATGCTAGGAACGAAGTAAGGAGGGGGAGTGGAAAGCCTCCTTCACTGCATAGACTATCTCATACGGATAGAGTGGAATAATCTCTGATCCCTGTATTAGAGGCAACTTTTAGCGATGCGGATTCGTTCCCCCTTACTAGACTATCCACGGGTCGTATCCGATTCTTCCCTCAGGATGGGGCGAAAATCCCTTTAACCCATTGCGGACCGCGTGCTGCACCATGTGCGGCATGCCCTTTGTGGAAAATGACAATAAGTTTGATTTTTTCAGCAATTTGTTGCGTTACAAACTCATCAGCAAGCTTTTTGGACACAAAATATATCATTTATTTGCATACTGATTAAATTTTTGATAGAGTTAGTCACTGACAAAACAGGTAACAAAAACTCACTAAGGTGCAAACATAATGGCGGTTCGCAATGGGTTAAATTTTTTGGTGGAACTCCAGTTCGGGGAAGGGCACTCCATTGTGCTCTCCAATAGAGGATAAGGATCAGAGTTTTCATGACACGTAATCGATTCATTTAAATTACTTCTGATAAGGACCGGTGTAGTGTGGAAGCACTCCTAAGGTGCTTTCAGATTTCGGCCTGCTGTGGTCCAAGGAAATGCTAGGGTATGGACATCCTTTCCTAGGCGCAAGGGTGTAGGAGCCCAGGGTGGACGATCACATGCCATAAATTGCCTAGGATGTGAGCAGGATGTGCGTGATGTAGGGCATACACCGGTCCTTATCAAAAGTGCACTTGAAATGAGTCGTTTACCTATATCTTATCCATAGGGTGAATGCCCAAAGGGGTGCTCTCGAGTACTGCGGATAAGATAACAGGAAGTGGTTCTCCCCGAAACTGGAGTTTCACTAATTTTGGTGTGAATAAGTCAAGCATGTGCTAAACGTAATGAAAGATCGTGAATAAAAATGAATTTAAAGAGATTTCAATTCCCCTAGCCTGAGGGAAGGGTAGGATACGGCCCCCTAATGAAAGCGCAGTTTGCAATCGATAAAATGCAGCGTCTTGTAAATTTATGCATTTTCTTTGATTAATTTCAGAAACTTCTATATTTCTGATGTTTCAGTGTATTGTTTAAGGTTTGTGGATACATTCATTGTTGAGCATACAATTCAGAAGTTCTTCGACTCTGGTGATTACGCCATGGATAAAGATCGTAGCAGGCAAGTTGCACCCGTTGTTGGTGGTCGCCTTCCTCATCCGATGGCTGCTCCAACGGTTTTATCCTCAGCTTGTCCAGTCCCTAGATCGGCTTCTGCCGCTGTTGCTGAACCGACTTCTCCCGATGGTGAAACAAATCTTCAGGTATGCTTATGTTTGGTTTTTGACTCTGTTTTTTGGTTAGAAAGCACAATTGTTTGGCATTTCAGATTCCTCGTCCAGATACTGTGCCTCAGAGAAAGGCTTCCATTATCAATCCGTCAGTGCACTGCAAACTCAGCCCAATGCCACATGTTCAGGTTTGTGATGAAATGTGCTTGCTGGGCATATCGTCGATCAAGAACATAAAGAACAATTTACTATCATCAGATTCAACGATTTCAAAGGCCGCTCTGATAAGACACTTTCGCAGTGTTTATTTTTGGATTGCCATTAACACGTGGGCCGAGAAACCGCACGATTGACTGTCGTGACCACTTTTTGTGCACTTTTTTTTTGGATCGGCTAGCTCCAAGCTCACCTGAGTTCTTCCCTTTGGGGCTGGCTGATTGGTGTAATTTTCTCATGACAGAATAAGGAACCCTAACGTGAACAGTTCAAAATCACTATCAACAACAATACTCGACCGGCCTCTGCAAACTATTGTATGAGCCAAATTCGCTTTGAAAAGCCTCTATATCGCCACGGAATGCTTATTGCGCTTCTCAGGGACTCGCGTTTCCTATCCTCTATTTCTGTGAGGGTTTGACAAAACTTGCTTTTTGTTGGGACATAATCGTGGAGGTTTTTCCACCCGACTTCGCCGCTTTAGCAACTCGCGATTTTTAGCCCAAAAGCGGCAAACACCGACGAGTAATCATGTTTATCTCTTCTGTTCTTATCCAAATCAGTTCCTTTTCTGTGTGTAGAAAAGAGTTATAAATTCTTTGTGTTTGAGAACGCAGTTTTTTTTCTGCATTTTTCCTCCAAAGCTGTTGCAATGAAGGCGGGCCGTAAAGCAAGTGGTTGTTTAAAATCCGCTAGAATTTTTGGGAAGTTCGGCGGATAGTTGTTGTGCTGAAACGGTCATGACCTGGCCATCTGATCGTTGACACCTTGCGATAATGTCCCTGATCTTTGATCACTCACGGAGATGCTCCGTGCGCATCCATCTTCGGGTTTCCATTTTGCATTAGGAAAATCTAGTCGTCTGGGTGAACCCTTCGAAGTCTTTGAAAAGGGCAATGTTTTGATTTGTTGCGGTTGCGTCTTTGAACGGGACTCCCAATACACAGCGTAATACGAAATGATTAATCAACACTGAACGTATCTCATCTTTGCAATTTGGAAAGTCGCACTGACTGACTTTGATGTATATTAATTTTAGCATCACGATGGCCAGCCGGCACAGCTGCCATCAGTCGAGTAATGAACGGCAGGGCGGCAGATGACTCAGAGAAGGGCGAGAAGCTGACCGCATAATCACACCGTCGAAATACATTTCCACTCCCTCCGCATTCGCTTTCAAATTCTCGTCAGACACAATACGTATTCTTCTACTGTTCTAAACTTTTTAGTCTATTTGAACCGATTCTTGCTGTTTCTATTCTTCGTGGTAAGTCATCCGTGATATTGCGTCATTGTTCTATCGACTGTACGTTTATTTAATTCTTTCTTTTGTGGTCGGCGTATCTATATTCTCTTATGTAGTTAATTTGTACAGATAACGCGCGACAGCTTGGCGGCTGAATAAAGTCGTGTGTTGAGAAGATGTGTAGCAACTCTAATTATAGTCTAATTGCGACTTGAGGGTGGTCAATGAGACGACACTCCAAATGGACGCCGACGCTTTCCTTTGTCCCCGAGCACCAATCTAGGCTGAGAACTGTGAACTTTCAACTTCGAGGGAGATCATAGGTGATTCAAGCCTTTTTGTATGTGAGCATGTATAATTGGCAAGCTTTCATCAATAAGCACGGAAGTGAC